GGGGGGGGGGTATAAAATGTTGTCATAATTAAATACCGGGGTCATCGAAAGTTTGACACTTTTTGACAAGGGGAGGGGGGGTGTCAAAAACTGCGGAAAACGGTTGACGTAATTAAGGAACGACCCCTTAACGAGCCAACAGAGAATAGTGTGTTTTGTTTAGACCGATGTGGACTGTACATTTTTCATTGCAAATGAAGTGACATTACTGCACATCCCCATACAATAGTTTCTTTCGTGGCTCAGCCAGCCTTTAAACGCCACGAGTTGCACTTTTTGAATGAGCAGTGGACTATTTACAATTGGACATTCATTAGTATTCACATCTCTATGATCAGTAGGTGAACATATTATCCTGCTTCCCGCACCCGCTTTCCGACACTAGCTATTACCAGCTGTTGCCCATTCTTCTACCATGCAGCTGTGTTGCCCCATTTTTTTTATCAGCTATGTTGCCACACTCCCCCATCAGCTATGCTGCCCCAATCCTCTTTCAGCTATGTTACCCCTATCCGCTGTCAGCTATGTTGCCCCACTCCACTATCAGCTATGTTGCCCCACTTCCCATCAGCTATATTGCCGCACTCCTCTTTCAGTTATGTTACCCCACTCCTCTATCAGCTGTTGCCCCACTCCTCTATCAGCTATGTTGCTCCACTCCCCATCAGCTATGTTGCCCCACTCCTCTATCAGCTATGTTGCCACACTCCTCTAGTCGCAATGTCGCGCCACTCTTCTTGTTGCTCTTGCGTGCATGTCTATTCCGTAGCTAACAAGACGAGTACATGACAAACAATAGAACATTTCTTAAGCACTGACCATCACCTTAGCTAACCCTTATCCAGAGCTCTGTGGTGGAGCTCAAATGGAGCTTGGCCAGCAAAGTCTGCAGCTAATCCCTGGTTTAAATAGTTTACATTTCTGTTTGAAAATATAATAGATTCATTGTCTAGTTTGACAATTTCGACTTTATTTTGCGCAAGACCAGCAGCGGGTAATTGTACAGGCGGTCGTGGGAATTATATATAACTGTCTTAGGTAAAAAGGATTGTTTAGAAAAGTTTACCCGAGATGACCTTCTAGTGACATGAGTTTTAATGAGTTTGACTAGCTAGTCTAGGATACATTAATTCAAGGGGTATTTTTGTGTGTTCGTGTGTATGAAATATTTGATTGTGTGTCGTTTTCATTTTTTAAATAAAATTTGAGATGCTGGCGAGTAATAATTATTTAAGAACAAAATTACTTGGTAAGAAAATGAGTCAAATAAAAACATTTTTTTTTTGTTGTTAATGCTGATTTTTGGAATGAGGTCAAGGGTGAAATATTTCTCTTCGTTTTCGCTGGGGTCAGTTTATCAAGCTTTGGGTTAGATGAGACCCGGAGAGTAGGACTGAGCCGTTTTGTGGCATGTATACACGGAAATTCCGAGTATAACACAACCAGAACACACCACACGGATAGGTACATTTTAAAAAAATTAATTAAATAAATAATGATAGGAACAAAAAATAGCGATGTCTGCGAAACTAAAGATTTTAAGCTAATGAAACTGCAAGGCTCTGAAAACAATAATGTACATGTTGTGAATTCGGTGTGATGATATTGACTTAGGAGGTTGCATATCTTCCATCACGACCACGAAACATCCTGCTAGGGAAAAAAAACTATTTCCCTTCCAATGGCAGCTGTAAAATGTAATCCATCGAAGGCATGTGTATGTGTGACGTCGTTCGACCTACAGTGACATCTGAAAACATGTGTACCAAATAAAAAATGTGGTGCTATTTTTAGGGAGGTCGCTTTCTGTGGGTTCAGCCAGTTGTTGAGAAATGGTTCCGTGACAGGGGTGAGAGAACGCGCTATTTCAAGGTTTGTTAAATTACAGCTGTCACCGTGATTATTTTGTTCGGTTACACCAGTGGTTCTTAAAATTTTTCGATTCTCGTCGCCCTTGACGAAAATAGGATTTTCTCCAAGCCCCCCCCCCCACCCCCCTATTTCAAGAACTAACATCCACGCTTAGAAATAGTTAATTCAAATTTAAGATTAGGTGGCCGGGTACAAATAGATAACACAAGCGTGGAGATGTTCAAACGTAATCTAATTTCAAGGTTTGTTAAATTTCCGCTGTCTCCGTGATTATTTTGTTCGGTTACACCCGTGGTTCTTAAAATTTTTCGATTCTCGCCCCCCCTGACGAAAATAGGATTTTCTCCCAGCCCCCCCCCCCCCACCCCCCTATTTCAAGAACTAACATCCACGCTTAGAAATAGTTAATTCAAATTTAAGATTAGGTGGCCGGGTACAAATAGATAACACAAGCGTGGAGATGTTCAAACGTAATCTAGCAAACATTTGTAGGAACTTCTGAAAACACCATAAGTCATGTGAGTTATTGGCCCGCTAGATGTCTTGCGTTGTCAAGTTTCGATTTAAAGTCTAAATTTTAAAAAAATTTGAAAGTCGAGTAAAATTTCGCGGTGCGACCGCAAGGAACCCGTGGCTTCCTAGGCAGATGCAGTAACATTTTGGGAAGCAATGAGATATGCCAAATAGACAGTGGCGGAAAGCCTTAACATTGCTTGCCATCACGTATGTGATGTCTTTAAATTATTATTTATTTATTTTGAGGGAAGAAAGCTCATTTAAACGGAGAGTGGGGTGGGGGGTGTTGGTAGGGCTATATAATAAGGGAGAAAAAGGAAAGAGGGGGAGGGGGAAGAAAAAAAATTGGTTAATTTTTTACGAACGATATCAATGGATGATCTATTTAAGGGCCCAGATCATTAAAGGCAATTTTCATCGGTATGCAAAATTTTCAATAGAACCCTTCCAAAATTCTAAGAACAAAATTTAAAAATTTTTGCATCAAAATTTGAAGAGAAAAAATAATAAATGAAAGCCAAAATTTTATGAAAGAGAAGTGACAATATTGTGATATTTATTTCTGTTCATCATAGCTTGAGGACCTCCACATTAATTATTAAGTCACATCTCTCGTAGCTCCACACCTCCGACATGCGACTCCGATTTGGCGAGCGCGTCATGTCCTGTCACCGTTGCTGTGTTGGTGTAACCGCACTTGGTCGTCTGATTAGTTTTGGCGCTAAATTGTTTTTACCAGGAAAAATTGATCTCTTGACACCAAGAAAACTCACGGGACTCAAATACAAAACTGTCATCCCGCCAAAGGCCGACATCTGACTGATGAGTAAAAACTATGTGACATATTATAACAGATACGTTATTACAGATCCAACAGAGAGGGGAAATTTATAGGGGAAGAAAATACACAATTCCTTTTTATACTTGACGCAGAAAGTGCTGATAAACTTGAAAGAGAAGAGAGAGGTGATAAGGATTTTAGTTTTATATGAGTTTTGTGAGGACACAG